ATCAGCCTCTATTTCTAAAGATTGCTTGTAACATATATAATATATATACACATACATATATCAGGGGCGGATCTAAAGAATCCTCCTCCTCCAACATTTGGAAATGTTTTATATTATTATGTATTAATTTATATAATACACGATTCATAAGTCTTAAAATCCTATAAATATAAATTTATAGTATAAATAAAATTGTTAAAATTGTTGTCAGATATTATCTATTATGTACTAAAATTATAATTGTATTTTATCTAAAAAATATTCTCCCCTTTCCCATTTCAGATTTTTAGATCCAGCCCGATTTATTTTACTTTAAATAATTTTTATTTATGTTAGAAATAAGGTATAGGTTGAATTTAATTTTTACAAAAATGATGACAGATACAAAAAAAACATCATTGTAAAATCACTTCGTTCAGAATCTAAAATATGTTGAATATTATAATGTATGTTATTGATATTTTTTAATGGTGGTTATAACAACTTAAGAGAAATATTGTTGTCAATTTTTAAGCCCGAGCTATTAAAATTTTATAAATCCAAAACTAAAAAATAAATTAAATGGAATAGTTTTTGAGCTAGTTTACTGTGTTTGCTAAGGATAGTGATGATTGATGACTGATTGAAATAAAATGAAATAGAATATTATATTTAAATAAAATTCAACAACTGATTATTTGAAAATGTTAGTAATCGTCAATCGATATGTTCCTAACCTATCAAGAGATCTCAATACCAGTATAGTGTCATATTTTAATCGACGTCAGAAGTTATAATCAGTGACGAATTCACTGGCCAAGTTAGATAGGTATTAAAGTGGATTTCCATGGTTAATTGATTTACTGTGGGATTTTTTGTAGAAGTTTTTTGCTGCAAAATAAATTCATTAAAGAGAAAAACGAGGGTGACCGTTCTCAGACGTAACCCCCAGACCGCATACGACCGCCTACGAAATAATATTGAAATATTGTTAAAATATATGTTTGACGCAGTGACTTAATGACGATTAGTCAAACTATTTATGGTGAACGATCTTTACTTTATTGTTCATGTTGCGATGCGTTATGGACTTAGGTATAATACGAGTACCTATATTACATACAGTATAATAATATTAATAGTAATAATAAACTGTGTATAACGAAACGGTTGTGAATTGTGACACGATCACTCGCACTGCTGCAATATTAATTATTGCTGTCATCGTACATGCTATATACTAGGCAGTTATATTGTTGTTGGAGTATAAAATACAATAAACGATGTGGGATAAAAACAAGAAATTAAAAAATRCCGATTTGTAATTATTATTAAACCGTCGAGGTATGATTATCGAATTAATCTAACCGACTAATATTATGAACTATACGAAATGTATTCTTAAACGGTTGTTGACGCCTCTGTGCCTTGATATGTTGTGGGGTGGGAGGTATATCTACTTTTTTTTACTAAAACTTTTCATGACTTATATCRACTTGACTTAGACATGTAATTTAAATTTTTCATCATTTGTATATCAAACAACATTAAATAGTTATGTAACTATACATAGTTAGATTTTAAAATGTACTTAAGTACATGTCTTATTACAATTTAATTTACATATTAGGAGGACATTTTTTTTTTTTTACAATATTAAGTAAGGTAGAATACTTATAGCTAATTTTAAACTTCATGGACACAATCTTTACAGCCATGTAGGAGTTAACGTTTATTAGGGCGGTCATTCAGCCTGCTCTGTTTTGACTTGTGGACCGCTTGCTTTGTGTGAGTGACGATTTGCGTGTGCGTTGWTAACCGATAGTTCCCCGATATTCTACCCAATCCATTATTATTACCTATTTAGGAAGCTACGTAGGTGCACCCGGAAAATATTTATTTTTTGTGCAATATCCACCATTTTAAGTAAGTGGTTGTTTGGGAATAAAAATATTTATATATTTAACAATCATTATCACCTTTTTATTATCATTAAATGACATCGATATGTTTATTTTATTTCATTGTGATAAATTATCATTACCCAATATTAGGAACGTGACGAAAAAATAACGAAACATGAATGGGAACAGGGGATATAGGAAATTAATATCACAAATTGTATCCGAACTTCGAAGGGTATTTATTTTTGCAAGTTTTAGGTTAAGAATAACCAGCTACATTGATGTTAATCGATACTGTAAAATAATATTTTAATTGTTTGAGTGAATGGTGTTGTGGATARCTTCAATATTTGCCCTTATGCGGATAAAATGTTCGTGACGCCACTGGGTGGTGATTAKGTGTGAACTGTATTGTAATGTACCTGCAAAACAAAACAGAATTTATAAAAAAAAAATATGTGGGACAATGTTCGCAAACAATATCGACATAATATACATATTGGACGCCTACAAATAATAATGATATATTATTTTTAAATTTAGTTCTTTGTTGGGTTCTGACCTTTTGATAAGTCGGAGTGATCGATTTTCACGACCAGAGACGATAAATCCAATTACCGAAACCWACTGCTGTTAAATAAAAATGCAATGTTWTGTATTCGAATATTTTGCCCTTAGTATTTTTGGAACTTACATAATATAATACCATTATATACGCTGTTTGTTAAATGATAACWTTTTACTTTWATAAAAAATAATTGGATTTATATTTTTGCAAGAAAAATAATAATTGTGAGCTACCYACCACACAAATATAAAACAAGAATAACGATCTCTACACATCATCTTATAGGTAATAAATGATTTTGCGAAATTTGTCTCATTTTATAATAGCTGGTATAATACGTAAACCAATAGTAACYAGTAAGCAAGCTGTGTAAATGTACAATATTATTCACATCAATACATTTTATTATTTAAACTTATTTAAATGAAATGCTGACAAATAAATGAAGACATTTWTTCTCCATGTTCAAGAATTTTTATTGAAAATTAATTTAGTACCTACTGACTATACTTATAATATAGAATATTGAGTGTATTAATTATGTATTTCATAATGGTCAAAACATGCATTATTTTATAATAAAGTAGGTGTGTCAATACAAGTAAAAAATATATTATTTTCACGTAAAAAGACATCAYCTTTGTTGTCTCCGTCTTATACACGTATCAATGTGCAACATGGAGGAAGATTTTCGTTTAGTAGAATCAATTTCATGTGATTATCTTTGATATTACAGATAATTAACTTATTATCAAACTTAAAATTTGAAGTTAATAACTAATTAGGACATTAT